AGATTCTTCATTCAGGAATTAGGCCTGTATGTTTCCAATGGACCAAGCAAACAGTGAAGGGGAATCATTTAGATAATAGCAATCATGCAACCCCTTTTTCATGTTCATCTGTATTTGTTAAGAGGAAAAATGAAGCCAGGTGTGTTGGCATATGCCTGTAATCCTAACTTCTCATGAGGCTGAGGCAGGAATACAGCAAGTTCAAGGCCAGCCTATGTAACTTAGCAAGACCCTATCTCAAAATTAAAAATAAAAAGGACTGAGAATGCAGTTCAGAAGTAGAGTACTTGCCTAGCATGTGCAAGACCTAGGTTTTAATTCCCAATACCATGGGAATTAAAAAAAAAAAATGAAAACAATTATACTCACTGCAGGGACATAATGGGTATATATTTTGTGAAACTTCTTTTCTCAGCTATTAAGTTTAATTTATGATGATATAATAATTACATCACATTAAGTAAAACTCCACTTCAAATTCTTTTTCATTGTTTCTTCTACTTTAGCCCTTTCTTATTGTTAAGTCTTAATATTTTACTGAAACATAATTGGAATAAAGTAACACTAAAAGCACTTTAACTGCAAATGCATAGTGAAACTTGTAAAAACTTGCAAGTACAAAGGAATGCATGAGAAAAAGGAATATGTGGTCAGAAGCATATAATTGTTTCCCAACAGGTCTGTTAAGAGTTGACAAGTAAAAAATTGAAAATAGAACTTTAAAAAGTTAGCTGTAAAAATGTTATTCCAAGTGTCTGTTCTTACAAGCTATTCAGCTAAGAGAAAAACAGTTTTGAACAACAAAGAGGACATTCTTTCTACACTGCTAATGCAAAATTCTACTAACAGCAGGTGACTTCTGCAAATGTCCAAGGACATTTTTTTTCACTTTGAAAACTCAATTTTATTATGAAGGCTGGGGATGCAGCTCAGTGCTACAGTAGAGTGCTTATCATGTATGAGGCCCTGGGTTTGATCTCCAGCACCACAAAAGGAAAATAGGAAAGAAAGTAGGAAGGAAGGAAAGAAAGAAAGCTGAAACAAAAGAAGCTTCTTTATTATGAAGATAGAAAGATTGAAGACTTTGGAGATACGAAAATAAAGGCTTTATTTTTTAGAAATCATTTGCATTTATCTACAAATACACAAGATACATACGTTTTAGAAAATGCCTACTTTTACATATATGTGTGTGAATTTAAAGACATAACCAGGTATTAGAAAACGTATGCATTGAATTCATTTAAGTTAGTTATGTTCATTTAAGTTAGTTATGTTGAAAACTTTTTGGGGTAGGAAAGGTGCAAAAGGGGAAAGTCTTAAAGTTGAAAAAACTAGCAGATACTTACAATATGCAGAAGTTTTAACACATCCACAAATCTGCAAAACAAAACAAAACAAAACAAAAAACAGCAATGAAAAAATGTTTTAAATGAGCCAATGAAGAAAACAACAGTCCTCTGAATAGTAAACTAGATACCTACACTTTCTCTGAGCTCATGATCTCCTTGGCAATATGATGAACTTTACTTTTGATCCCAGCATCTTCATCCTGTGGATAAGAGTTCATTAACAGAGCATGAGTCTAGGCCATACCACCCTAAATACACCTGATCTCGTATGATCTCAGAAAACATCATGAACTCATGAAAGGATAAAGGAGGTCAGCTATTAGCAGTCAAGAATGAATTTCAGTTCTGATCTTACAAGTTTCCTACTAACATATGGTTCACACTGATTTAGAACATCTCAAAGGCCAACATGGAGCATTAGATGAGAGATAATCCCTGACACAGAAGTAGCTGAGAGCTGTGGGTAATAGGATTAATGGACTATACTGGGGAACCCCAGGGCCTTGGTTCAGCAAAGCAATCAAGGTTTCAAAATGGAAAAGTCACATTCTGCAATGGAAAGGACCCTTATAGCTATTATATGAGTCCTTCAGGTACACATAAATAGCCACATAATTATTAATGAAATATCCAATGGGAATGCATAAAACGCTTCACCCTAAGTCCTTCTGAGAAACAGGAATACGATCTGAACAGGGTTCCTCATACCAAACACTAATTACATTGTAGCCACAGGATCTCTTAATTTCCTTAAAATCCCTTTTAGATATATGTTGTTAGAGTCAAGGCCATTTTACTCTAAAGATCCAAAATAAAATTCTGCTTTGTTCTTTCTAAGATGAGGTGTACCATGTTGTCCAGGCTGATCTCAAATTCCAGGGCTCAACCTTCAACAGATGAATGAATTTAAAAAATGTGGTACATACACGTGATGGAATATTATTCAACCATTAAGAAGAATGGAATTATGGCATTTGCTGGCATATGGATGGAACTGGAGAATATCAAGCTAAATGAAATAAGCCAATCCCAAAGAATCAAAGGCAGAATAGCTGAAATGAAATTTTTTTTTTTTACTTCTTTGTATGTAAACTAAATGCCCTAGAGGGACAAAAAAATGTGCAGGTTTGAAATAAATAATAATGCAGATGCCTCAAAAATAGATCTTAGTATTTTGTTGTTTTTAGTTTAAACATTGATAGAGCTGGCTTTGGCTCCAGGGAATTAGAGAAAATGTTTCTGTTTCTTTTTTTTTTTTTTAAAGAGATTCCTTTATTTTGTTCATTTATTTATATATAGTGCTAAGAATTAAACCCAGTGCCTCACACATGCCAGGCAAGCGTTCTACCACTGAGCCAAAACTCCAGCTCCTTCATTTTTGTTTCTATGAAAGATCTGAACATGCAGTTCCTCAGTGAAGGGCAAAAAAGACTACATAAGGAATAAGCAATTATGACATTTTAGATAGCTAAAGGTGAAAATTATGATTGCTGAATGAAAGAAAACCCAACCAATAGCAGAAGACCAAGAAGACCCACTTAAAACAGGAATTAGCCAAGGTCCAAAGCTGATTATTAGAAGAACTAGGGCGGACATGGGGATTAGCTCAGTGGACGAGAATTTTGAGACCCTGGGTTTGATCCCCCGCACTGCAAACTGTACACAAACACATGCAAAAGCATTGGGAAGAGATCCCAAATTTCCCAATATCTAACCAAAGAATTACTGTATTACACACTGAATTTCCCTTCAATATCTATGAGTGACCTTGTCATAGCCTCACAAACATTCACTGCTGAACATAAACCCACATTCCCACTCCCCTAGCAAGATTTAACAAATCCAAATATTCTGCAGTATTTGCATAATTTTTGTTTTTGTACCAGGAATTGAACTCGGGTACTCGAGTACTGAACTACACCCCAAGCCCTATTTTGTACTTTATTTAGAGACAGGGTCTCACTGAGTTGCTTAGTACCTTAAAGTTGCTGAGGCTGGCTTTGAATTCTCAATTCTCCTGTCTTAGCTTCCCAAGCCTCTGGGATACAGGCATGCACCACCACACCCAGCTGCATAAAATTTTTTTAATGAAACAAATTGTTAATTATACCATTAAAGTTCTCTTCTCTTTCTCCAGAAGTGACCACTAATCTTGCAATTACTGTGTGTATTTGTTCCTTCTAGGTTTTCATACTTTATTACAGAAGAGTTTACATGCAATAACAAGAAACCCTGACCTTTCTGTCAGAATGTAAATAGGGTTAATTGTGAAAATAATCTTTAAAGGACAATCAATTACTAGTCAAAGTATAGAACAACCTAGTACTAGCCTAGGATATCTGCCTTGCTCCTGGCTTGACCTTAGCTCTCACATTTATTGTTAAAGGGATAGTTAAATGAATGTTGACCTCTATCCCTGTTATCATTCCTCTCTTCTAAGATAAGGTGTTGAATGATTGAGACTAATAGGTTGCATTAAGACTCAACTCCATTTGAACAACCAATAAAAAAAAAACAAAACTCAACCCCATTCATTCACCTTTTAAACTATGCTTAAAAAAAAAAAAAAAGAGGGAGAGAGCTGGGTGTAGTGGCACAGGCCTATAATCCCAACTACTTTAGAGGCTAAGGCAGGAGGATAACAAATTCATGGCCAGCCTGAGCAACTTAGCAAGAACACCCTCTTAAAAGAGCTGGGGATGCAGCTTAGTGGTGGAACTTGGCTAGCATGTGCAAGACCCTTGGATTCAATCCCTAGCACCATACACACCACACAGACCATACACCTACGAACAGAGAGAGAGAAAGAAACTATATAGCTAACATCCCTGGGGAAGTCATCTTAAGTGCAATCTGATCTTACAGATCAC